AAAATCAAAAATTAAAAACAGTAGGGAAGCAGTTTCTGGCACCCTGACCGGTTCATTTTGTTTTAATAGCAGATGGCTTTCTGTATCGTTTTCAAAACCTTTGAAATCGCTATTTGGAGCAAAAGTTAGAACAGCTTTATGGGTCCAGTTAAGTTACCGGGACCTTCTAGAAATATGCCTCAGGCCCGAATTTAAATTTACTGCAACTTTTAAAAACCAGACCCCAATTCCAGGCTGTTTGAAACTAAATTAACGCTTGTGCCCATTGACCAATCCTGGCCCAGCTATATTGGTAATCTAGCTATTGCCATGGGATTATTAACAAGTGTTGACCTGATCCTTCTAATCGCGATCAAGGAGCTCAGCCCAGGTTTTGAATCAGCTTTAAAACGCGCTCGGCCAAGTTATTAAGAGAGAATTTTTCTGGAGACCGCGTGAAATCAAAAAAAAATGTGGCACATGCCTAGAAAAAGCCCTACCTTCATACTTCGCTCAAAGATACCTTAGGGTAAGTCTATAAACGTGGTATAATTTTTTTGTTCAGAACTGTTTTTATTTTCTAGAAAATCACCAAACACTATATCGAGCCCCAACCGCCATAACAGTGGCCGAAATGAAGCCGACGAGTAGGGCAACAAAAACGTTATTCTTCAAAAGCGCAAAAGAAAGCAAGTCTTTCCGAATATTATCTATTTGTATACGAGGTATCAACAAAGGATTTGAATCTAATAACGGGATTATTGACATAACTATGAATTATTGGCGAATATTTGAAAATCGCCAAAATTTGATTGATTAAAAATTTCATTTTGGAGCAGTTTTTCAATAAAAATTTTTCCTACTCGGTATAACTCGGAATCACTTGAGATGAGCATTTCTGAAAATTGGAAACGATGTTCTTTTCAAGGATATAAAAATTAATTTGGGGCTCTTAATTACTGCGAAGAAATAGCCCGATCTATTTCGTGCAAATCGCAACGCCGCCGTGTAAACAACCGCAGATAATCCAATTATTCTTTTATTATCGAAGCCATAATTTCTTCAAAATCTTACCGCTTTGAGCTGTGCTTTATCAGAAACTCAATATGTTACCCTTACCTTCTGAAACCAGTGATTAAGGAGTGATGTTTCCATTATTTTTGTTTCAAATCGCCATGTTCACTTGAAAAGTGTTTACAACGTCCGGCTTGACCATTTACAATACTCGGAGCTGTTCATAAATCATCGCAAACCATCGCAACTCTTGACTTATTTCTGCTTCCATACAACTCCAGTATATACAAAAGTCTTTTTAGCACGATAAACCAAGATGCTTTGATTGCTTACAGTTTCAGTTAAGAAACGTTTGGCTCCCCAAATGGCACAACGATGTTCACCAACGAAGTCGTGTGTCATCACTCATGTTTGTCACGCAATCACGCTAAACGTGCACAGGACACCCAGACAGGCATTCGTCTGCAGACATCGCTGTACCGAGTGCAGGGCCAACTAACATTTATTTCTTAGTCAGTGTTATGTTTTAAACAAAAACCTGCGCGAATTCACTTAAAAAACGCTGTAGATCTTTTTTGAGTGTTTTGAATCAGTGCCATTCTGAAAAACTACTTTTTGACGTTTTCGTAAATTTAGTCACCCCCTGGTACTGACTCTATTTCCACGACTACGCGCTTGCAAAGATTCTATTTATCAATAGGCACTTTAAGCATGACGTTAAACGGCAAACGGCAAACGCAAGCTTGCCTTTCATTTTGTTACCTATTTATGGAATTCTTAAAAAAATCCTGCACAAAAAATAAAATAAAATAAATCAAACCTACTTAATTCCGTGTACACACGCCTAGAGACAGACGACAGAAATTGAATTTTTGACGTTCGCGGGAAAAACAAACGTCATGCGTAACCTCTCAAATGACGAACTTCCCAGTTAACTAAAACAACTAGTTGGCCGTTAATTGTCTAGTGCTCCGTGATTATATACATCACCTACGTGTCCCTAGTGGATCGATAAGGTCTACCATGACCTTCAGTGGCAGGCAGACAGGTTCCACGGTGAGGTGTTCTTTTCTAATGACACTGGAAAAATTCTACCGACTATGTAAACAGAACAACAGACTAACAATTTCGTGCTTTATCTAAGCACTTTGAACGTTAAACTTCACTAAAAACGTAAACCTTCGAGTCACAAAGTCGGCCGCTTGTATCAGGCCGTGAAACATTACGTGTTATTCGATATCGCCTGACTGTAGATCATTACAATTACATTTTTTAAAGCTTTGGACTTACACAATCTCTGTTTTTTGTTTTTGTTGTTGTTGTTGTTGTTTTTTTAATTTTCCTTACGATAGCGGGCTCATCAATTTAAACCTTTCGATTTTGTACCTTGATTGCTACGATGATAATGGCCATCGCTAGAAACTTGACAGTTTTCTCAACTCGAACTCGGAAAAAGTTGTTTCCTGTCCCTTAATCAAACAATTAATCGGCCATTCTTTGAGATCCCGAATTCTCGACAAGACAGAGGCGGCGTACCCTCGGAGATTCAAGAAATCAGGAAGTTCCTCCATACCAGCTAACTGAATGGGTTTTATAAAACAAAAAAAGGAAGAAAGAAAGAAAGAAAGAAAGGAAAAGAATACAGTGTCATATACTTTAGGTGTTTTCCTGGTCAATGAAACCAATATTCAAGCTACATGTAGTTCGTCACTGCTGACAGGTACAGCTAAAGCAAAGGGCTTCGATCTTGCTCACGTAAGGCTGCTTACGATGAACGGAGATATCGAGATACCGAAATATTGGAAGGCAACGTGAATATCGATGCCCGTGCTAAAATGAGATCGACTTCCGATTCAACATCATTCACGCCCACAGCCTGTTTGTGTGCTGAGATGTCTTTCTCACATAAGCGCAGAGGGACTATAAGAGAAGCTTTTCCTGCAACACGACTTCCCTTATCTTGGGAGCAGCATCCCCCAACTAATCTTTGAAAGGAGCAATTGATTTCCATTTGGTACGCTCACCTCTTAAAAAAATCGGCGGCTAAACGAAAACACCATTTTAGTTTGTTTTGGAAAATTTATGGCGCGACGCTCATTGTATGGTTAGAAACTGTGCCTAATCTAATTTATTTTTTTAGCGCTGAGTATTTTAGAAAGCTACTCCCAATTTAATTTTTCCACTCCTGCACCTGTCTACCCTGCAAGCCGTCACAATTTACAAAATAGGATAACACATTTTTTTACGTCGTTAAAAATTAATGCAGTGAAATTTCCTCTATGCTGTAGTAACATATACCTAATTCATTTAGCAGTCTAGGGTGACGCATGAGTGGTATCGCGCTTAAAAAATGCAAACAACGGTAATTTTAAATTCTGGATTTAAAACTTTTTCCCGGAAATAAAAAATAGGGGATAAGAAGGAAAGAAAATAAGAGCGTATTGGTAACCGAGCCTCCTTTCTTGTTTATAACAAGATTGAGGCAAGGAACCAATCTTCGAAAGGTGTTTTTCGCCAGGTGAGCCTAAGAAATCCAGTTTACAATCTAGTATAGGTCAAAGCGATAGGATTTTGTTGAAATTATGGCTTCGATAATAAAAAGCCTAATTGGATTATCTGCGGTTGTTTACATGGCGGCATTGCGATTTGCACGAAATAGACCGGGCTACTTCTTCGCAGTAATTAAGAGCCCCAAATTAATTTTTATATCCATGGAAAGAACATTCTTTCCACTTTGTAAAAATGCTCATCTCAAGTGATTCCGAGTTATACCAGGTAGGAAAAATTTTTATTGAAAAACTGCTCCAAAATGTAATTTTTAATCAATCAAATTTTGGCTATTTTCAAATATTCGCCAATAATTCATAGTTATGTCAACAAGCCCGTTATTAGATTCAAATCATTTTTTAATACCTCGTATACAAATAGGTAAAATTCAGAAAGACTTGCTTTCTTTTGCGCTTTTGAGGAATAAAGGTTTTGTTGCCCTACTCGTCGACTTCATTTTATGGCGGTTGGGGCTCGATACAGTGTTTGGTGATTTTCTAGAAAATAAAAACAGCTCTGAACAAAAAAATTATACCACGTTTATAGCCTTACCCCAAGGTATCTCTGAGCGAAATATGAGGATAGTGATTTTTCCGATCATGTGCCACCTCCCACGCGGTGATAAAAAAAATTCGCTCTTAACATATCTTAACTAAAGAGCGAGACAGGGTTTCAAAAATTTCCTACAGGTTTGTTGTGATCATTAAGGTTGTAAATGGTTATCCTTGTTTTGATTACAATGATCACACTTTGGCTCAGTGTCAATAAACTCGTTTTGTATGACAAATGTATGATCCATTAGAAAAGAAGATGACGGGAGTTAGTGACATTCGCTCCTTTCTTGTCGTTTGGAATAAACAGATAACAAAAACAGCGACTGTTGACATTCTTTGAGGGTACAAGGGCTTCCATGAGAAAAGCGGGCCAACACCAGCAAAATGAAGATTAAACTGATTTAAAAAATTACCACAACTGAAAACTCCAGTACGCTTGAAAAGGTTATTGGTTTAGAATTAAAAGTCCTTTAATTTTTTTGGACAAAATTCATCACTAGTCTGATTCAGTCATAAAGGCAGTAATATGTATTGAACAATTTCTACTCAGGTTTCTTGTTTGAACTTTTGTAGAGCGTTATTAAATCTGAATCAATATATGCCTCTTCTGTGTTACCACAGCAACTTGTGGGAAGGAAAATTCTTAATACCTTAGTGGCACATAAATTCAGAGCCACTTTTAACAAAACTTTTCTGGAAATCTAAAGAATTTGATGCATATTCGATCTTTTTTCTTCGTTATGACGATTCGAAAATTAAATTTTGAAATAAGTGAAAACTGGAAAGATATGCTCTTAATTTTTAAATTATTCGTCATTAGTGCTACAATCAATAACAATTCAATTGAACAGCGTCACTCAAACGGAAAAGACAAAAGCATCATCTCGTCATTTTGCATAAATTATATTACCAACGCGCTCAAATCTTGACTTTTTTACGCGAATGAAAATACTGTCGCATGTATGGGAGTCATGGTGTGAAAAAGACTACCATTTGAACCCTTTGTATCTTTAGCTCTGGTGAAAATCAACACTGGCGCTTCTCAACTGGCTTTTGGCTGTGAGTAACTGAGCATCGACTGATCACCGAGCCATTCTGTAATTTCTAAATGGATAAAACTCCTGTGGAGACTGAATATACAAGCGGCGACGAAGCCTCCGATGACGACGAACCGCACAAAGATGATGTGGACGAAGAGGGATTCACACGGCTCGACCACATTACAATCTGCGTCAGTTTCAGCGGCCTGGCGATGCTCCTTCATTCGTTCTTTAGTGTTGTGATATCCGGTTCTCAAGACATCTTGGGAGGAACTTTTATTCCTACCACCACAATCCTCGCTTCGCATGTAACAACGATGGTGATCGTCACTTCAATTCTTCCCTGGTACATGCAGAAAATCCCTTACTTATGGCGGACACTCATTATATTCGCGGCTATGGCAAGCGGGACAGTTCTTATCATCTTGGTCGACAACGTTTACGTCAAAATTATCGGAGTATCTTTGAACGCACTTGCCCATGGCTTGGGAGAGATTTCATTCTTAGCCCTTAGTGCTTTTTACGGAAAGTTCTCACTTACTTCTTTCGCCGCAGGAAGTGGGGCAGGAATACTTTTGGGGCCAATTTATTACACAGGTAAGTCAGAAAATTAGGGGTTCTATCAGCGCGGAATTTTAAGTTAGATTGCCTGGAGTTCTGTATAAGCGTTTGTTAGTGTGGTTAGAATGTAGAATTAACAAAGCAAAGATCACCCAGGCGAATAAATTAGCCAAGTTACACCATTTTCTTGTGATACCGTCGGTAGCAGATTAGGGAAATGTTTTCGTACATCAAAATAACATTCTTCAACAAAGACCTAGTCACAAAAGTAGTCTATCGCTTTCGCCATGTGCAATGTTTTCTATCTAAGAACTGTATTCATCATGAAATAGGCGGCTGTGCGGAAAATCTTGCTCAGATTAACATTATCACCCCTTATTGTTTTTCACATTGAAAATTTACATCAAATTCTTCCTTCGACTGAATTGTCCTGCTTTTTTAACAATCCTGTCGCCTCTTTATTACAACTAACATAGGAAAGACGGTAAAAATTATCTAATTAACTTATCGCTGCTATGCATATGGTACAAATATAGATCGCTGTAAAGGTCAGATTATATGATCCATTCCTCTAGAATTTTTTTTACCTTTTTTACGGACACCGATATATATTGATGTCCGGAAAATAAATCGAAAGACTTCCTCACCCTCTTTTGTGCCAAAAGTTAACTAGATTACGTAACAGAATAGTCAGGAACTGGAAAAGCTTCTGTCTTACCTCTCTGTTAGCGACGGTACAGCTTTCAAACTCATATCTGCTATCGGATGCATCTGCAGTCGTTATTTATCAGATTTTATCCTGTAGCCTCTAGCAGGTCTAAAATAATGACTCACTCACAACCAAAACACTGTGACAGCCCGAGAGAGATGAGGAGGAAAAAAAAAAACGATTGAACAGGTGTATTAATCAAATGTCACGGGGGCATTTTTCTGCTGCTTAGCTTCCAACGGAGTAGACTGTTCCATGTTTAACGGCTTAGGCTTAAAATAAACTCAGAGGCGTGAGGAAAAAAGCCAGCAGAAAACTGAGAATTCTTCCTTGTTAGAGAAGCCAAAAGAAGGCAAAGAAGGTTTTTTTTTGATAAGTCGGCACTGCCTTTTGGAGGTCGTAACTTTCAAAATCTTCATTGGCATACTAAAATGGTTCAATGAAAGTCTATACTCGACGGCAGTAAAAAAAATGTCTTCAAAATATTATTTCGTATCGATCAATTCTTTAGTAGCGTTCTTGGCTTTTTAATGACCTTTCTTTGAACTTTCCTTTGCCAGGAATGACGTCATGGCTTTGTTTGTCACCACAGATATCCCTGACAATTATTGCACCAGCCACACTTTTGATCCTGTTATTTTACTACATACTTGACAAGGACCGCATTAAGCCCTATGCCTTACTGGAAAAATACAACAAACTCAAGACCGCTGACTCCGAGTGCTCAGATGACTATCTTACCAAGGAGCATTTTGGCCATTTGTCTTGGGGTGAGAAGTGTACTGGTGCATGTCAGATCTTGCCCCTGATGATTGCTCTGTGCTCTGCCTACATTGCACAGTACATAACTATTCACGCAGTCTTTACAACGATCGCCTTCGAAGACGCTCCTTTTGCGCCAAGAGACCACTTTGTTTACTATGTTCTCGTAAACGGTATCGGCGAGTTTTTATTTCGTTCCTATTTAAGCGCAATAGCGTGGTTCAAGCCAGTTTTAATTCCTCGCTTCGTTGTAAAGCACACATGGATTTTCTCACTTCTTTTACTGGCTTTTATGAGCCTTTCAGTATGCGCTTCGTACTACCGAATCTTTGACTCGGTATGGTCGGTTTTGTTGATCTGCTTTATTATTGGCTCGTTGTCAGGCTTCGTTTTTGCGAACACAGTCTGCGCAGTGCCCCTGGTTGTGGAACCGAAGTATAGGGAATTCTGCTTAGGACTGGTAACGATTGGGGAATCTGCGGGGGTCTTAATCGCAAGCTTAGCAGGTCTTGCTGTGGAACCAATTCTGAGAAAACATTGCTCTGACATAGCGAGAAAAACCGCTCTCTGTTACACAAGGCCGACCACGAATAAATGGAGTGCATCTACATGTTCAATAAAGGGATGAGGAAGTCATAAGGTTGCGAGTAATCTCGTACCCAGATCCTACCGTGTAACTGTAACTGTCCGTGGAAGGGGGGGGGGGTTATAGGAAGGTAGGGGGGAAGGGAGGGTGGACATAGAGACATAGATAACCTCGCCTTGTCGGGTTTTTGAAGTTTGCAAGAAAGATAGTTCTTGTAAGATCGGAGGTAAAGGAACATATTTCTTATAGGTGGGAATAAGTCGGTTTCAATTCATCCATCTCGAATTAATGTTTTGAATAGGGAAAAGGGAAAATCTTTGACTGGAAAAGAAAATTGTAAATTCTGATAGCTGAAATCAGTAATTAAAAAAAATGATTGGGATATGATTGTGTTTCCTCGATGGTTTAGTTTTCGAACCAAGGACTGGATTGAATAATAAAACCCGATAAAAAAACGAGTTTATGTACTGGTGATTTTCCATCTCGACGGTTGTCATGAGAACTAAACGTAGTGTTCGGAGGACACCTTGTACCGTTGATTTAAACTGTTCCTTAGATTCAATGCACTCGGTGATGGCATCAGCAATATCTTTAAGTGATTTGTTCTTGTGCAGCGAGTTTACAATCCTTCCCTAACGATCCGTTCACAAAACATCCGTAAACAATCCGTCACTTAATATACACAACCTTCCGGGTTAACTGACTTCAAAACGCTCAAGATCCGATTAAAGATAAAAAATATCTCAACCCTCTGGGTTCGACCTTGTTTCGGAACAAAAAACCTCTAGTTCTCATATGGTTCCTGATCCGAGAGAAACCTGGTGCTTCGTTCTAAGTTCCAGTCAATGCATAACTAGTACCAGACTTTATCCTACCTACTACCTTGTTTGGTCAGGAGCCTGGTGTAGTACATTTCTCCAGACATAGGAACGCCCCCTTCCATTCGCTAGAATTTGTGAGAACACTAGGAGGAACTGGATCGGTTTGGGTGCTTATCAGGAATTCTTTGGTTGAAGCCTACCTGGCCAGCATAGTATGAATGAAAGAAAGGGGCAACTGGTTGACAACTTCCTGAGACCTCTACAGTTCTTTCCCTATGAAGACCAATTGTGCAGGCTTTCCACTGTAACTCCCACAAGGCGTTTGATGACGACTTTGCACAAAATCTTTGAATATATTTGTTTCACGTCAACAATGCATCAACTAAATAATCTGAGAGTTCGACTTTTCCCAAGAAAGTACACTCAATTTACATGCGGGGTTTTCAATAACTTTCTCCGTAAGTGTGACCACTGATGGTGTAATTGTCTAGACCCGAGGTGAAACCCGAACTAGAAAGCATGCTTGCAAGCTAAAAAGAGAACAGTAAGAGGTCTTATGGGCGGAAACCGCTGTACATAAATAAGGGAACGTTTCTAATTCCATTTCGGCCCTTGCGTTAAAACAAAATGAGATGGCAGCTGATCTGAAGTCTTTTCAAGGTCTCTACATCTAGTCAAAGTCTAGTCATGAATACCACGTAGAACCTTTGTACACATGAAAACATTCATGAAATATTGTGCTGTTTGAATGTCTTTTGTTTTGCGGACAATTATAAAATTCACTGATGGCGTCAAAAATCTTCCCAACACTTCTTATTTCAAAGAAGTCCATTGACCAGAACCCACTCTAACGAGGAAAGATATTACCTCTCATACCATAATTAACATACCTTTTGGGAACTTTACAGCTAAAAGACTCATCAAAAGGAAGCAGAATCTGTTTACTGTGTAATTGTATCTTTATTTTTACAATGTAAAATTCCTCAGTCACAAAGCATGGCTAATTGTCTTAAACGCGAGTGACTTGCCACACACGGATCAAGTTGTCAGTGTAACCTGCAAACAGAGTCTGGCCATCAGCTGACCATGCCAAGGAGATACAGTTGGCAGGTGGGGCTTTGCCTCCCATGCTGATCACATCTGGTCTCAGCTCATCCACAATGGACTTGCCTTCCAAATCCTTAAAGAAATAATTAGAACAAATTCTTCTTCAATACCCATAACGAAAGTTCAGGGCAGCTTATGAGTCCAAGGCCCATACTACTAAACTTTATCCCAACTTCTGTAGCTCCAAGCAACTCTGAAAATCTCCTTTTAACTACTTTTTGCCTATTGTAAGCGATATGCTACTCACCCAAATCTTAATGCTGGGTCCTGCGGCAGCACAGAGCCAGTATCTGTTGGGGCTGAAACACAGTGAATTCAGAATGTCACCTCCATCAAGTGTGTACAGGTGTTTTCCCTCGTTCAAGTCCCACAGCATGGCCATACCATCCTTACCACCAGATGCACACAGAGAGCCATCAGGTGATACAGTGACACAGTTAAGATATCCAGTGTGTCCGATATGGTTTGTCTTGAGACGGCAATTGGTCAGGTTCCAAACCTTGAAGGAATTAATAAAAGCAGTTCATTAATTCACACGACACTCTTGAATCCCTTCCTGCTGAGAATATAGCATACAATGAAATACCCATGACCTAAAGGTCCTGAGGTGCTGAGGAAATTCTAATTGAGATACTGAGGGTTTTGCATTATTAGTTTCAACCAAATTGAATTTCCCAGATTCAAATTATCTTATCAAACTGGTTGTATTTCCTTTGTTCCAGAAATGTTTAGTCAGTCTTTCAGCCTTTACCCCAATCAAAAAGTTTTATTTGTGATCCTCCCTTGCTTACTGCTTCACATTTCATTGTAACTTGATGGGAAGAATTTTGTTTTTCTCAAAATAGCACTCAGGCACTGATCTAACCACCTTTCTAAAAATTGATGGCTCAATATTGTGAGGAAGAACAGAAGTTTAATTGCCACTCTCAGAGGAAAGGATTACAAAAAGATAAACAAAAATCAGACTAGTTCTATAATTATTAATTGTAAATCATGTTCACAATACAGAAATATACTGCTATGGTTGTGAGCTAGATATATTTAGGAACTAACAAATATTTGAGACACCCTTTACAATCCCAGGAATGACCACAGAGGAAGTACTTCATACATGCACTATAGTGGCACAGTTTCAGGGGAAAGTGATGGGAAGACAGGAAAAAAAATGTATGAAAAAAAATTGTAGATAAGTGATATTTTGACTTGAGAGTGAAAAGACGACAGAACTCTAAGTAAAGTATTTGGGTTTGAAGAAAGCATATTTGAGAAATACCTTCACAACTTTGTCCCAGCCAGCAGAAACGATGATGGGATTTGTTGAGTTTGGCGAGAACCTAACACAAGATACCCATTCAGTGTGTCCCTCATCCTGTTATAAAGAACAAATAATTATAAAAAACCAAGACATATATGAATTTTCTTGTAAATAGTCAACTTTGAGTTGGTGTCTGTTGTTGTTCAATTTCAACTCTTTGTTTAAAGTTGATGCTCACATTTTTCAATTTCATCATTATGTACTTAGTACTTAGCTTGACAAAAGAGAAACCATAGTAGAACAAATAATGGAATTACACCATTACACCAAGTCATGATAACTTCCACACACCTGAATAGTATACTTGCATTGACCCAGGGTATTCCATAACTTAATATTGCAATCACGGGATCCTGACACAATCTGGCGATTGTCAGCAGAGAATGCAACACTCAAAATGTCTTTGGTGTGGCCGACAAACTGGCGAGTGGTGGTGCCACTAATGAACAAAAAAGTTGACAAAAAAATATTTAAATACATACAAAAAAAGAAAAAAAAGAAATAAATAATAATAAACTAAGAACCCCAAACTGAAATTTTTTTTATATCTGGCAGTGAAAATTTCACATGAAATTATGACACTGACTGCATTTTGAGATTAAATGTCATCTAAGGTTTCAAAAGTTGTCTTCAATTGGGCTAAAAATTTAACTATGGACACCACCATTGGGACTGTTGCTTTACAACTCTCACTCCTGTCATTTCCATCTCTCTCCCATCTGTTTAAATCATAAATAAATACACAAAGTGGCAATTTTTTACTCAAGTAATGACTTTCTGTGGTAACCACCAAAACAAATATTGGTGAGCAGTAAGTTTGGTTTATGCCATTTGATAGCTGTGCAGCTTGATCACCAAAATTTTTGTTTCCCAAAATGGCACCAACCATAGTTAGTTTTTTGGAATATTTGAAGAAAATTTGCAAATGGTTAGATTGCTCTCTCAAGTCTCAAAACATGATAAGAGATAAATCTATACATCTTTATAGTACTATGGTTTCTGAAGCATACACCTTCTTAAGTATGAAGTTTGATATTAGACAAGACTTACGCATTAAGATCCCACAATCTCATGCACTTATCCCATGAGCCAGAGAGTGCAAACTGACCATCAGATGACATGACCACATCAGATACAAAGTGATTGTGACCAGTGAGAGATCTCTCAGGTTCGCCATAGTTGGTTTCCTCACGTTTCAGTTTCCAAACAATGAGTTGTTTATCTAAGACACACAGAGCTTACATCAATATACTGGCAGTAATCAAAGATGAGAATTGCAATCAGTTCTTGTATTCCAATCTTTAAGAGTTGTAGAGTGGTTTAGTTCTTTTACCATTTACTCTCTCTTATTTCTCCAAGTGTGTGTATTTCTAGCATTTTAGACAAAGAAAGATTGTCTCCTTATCTTCAAAACATTTTCCAAATGTGTGTAACACTCAGAATAATGCAATGAATAGTGACAGCCAGTTACAAGCTACTCGCTGTACATGTGATAGCTTAAGCCTGCATTTTATTGGACTGTTTCGTGAATTTTTTTTAACATGAATTTCAGGTTGAGTCAATTTTAAACTTACATTTTCTTTCAGACACAATAAGAAAATACAGTAATACTGTAATATTAAGTAAAAATAACTTTGAAATATACAGTCAGAAAACAAGACAACACAAAAACTCATTACACATCATTTGGAATTTTACATGAAGTTAAACACTGCACAGCAACAAGCTGATTTCATCTAATGCCCAAGTACATGTGCCATGTCACAGCTGATGTTGTCTTAAACCTATCTTCCCACCTCCTAGTCAACAATTTAGCTTAAATCATAAAAGAGAGCTGCCCTTCAAAAAACAAATATTTTTTTCCTCAAGGATAGCTAAGATCTGACATCAGCACTGTTACACCAACATAACTGTATACGTATTATACCACTATATCGTGTTCAGCTGTAAAAATACAAGCTAACCTTTGAGTGAGTATTTAATGGTTCTGATTCAACTACTAGAAGTGCAGTTGTGATTCCTAAATGTTGGCTGATAGTGCACTAATCATTTGGTTACCCATAGAAATAATGAGTATTGGCGATAAAGATGATTGTGAACTTAAGATTTTCCACAAATGGAGGAAGCAATGTTTCGGCTAGAGATCACGGGTAATCATTCGTACAACTACCAACCCAACACCAAAATACAACATAGAATCAGTGAGTTACATACCCCGAGAACCGGATAAAATCTTGTCTGGGATCTGAGGATTGGTGGCTATCTGTGTTACCCAGCCATTGTGTCCCTTTAATGTTCCCTTAAGAACTAATTGTTCAGCCATGATGTATCGCTTTTCTTGTCAATTTCGGCGGATTGTACACCGATCTAAACCGCGATGGCGGTCGTAGAGAGGAAAGAGAGAGAGGAAGGTCGCGTGCCATGATTTTAAAACTGGGGCCGACTTGAACGATTTCTTTGAGGGAGGGGTAGGAGGAGCAAATCTCTTACATGAAATCGAGGCACTCACACATGTCTGAAGTGACGTGGCGACCGCCATATTGTTCGCACTGGTAGAACTCTACAAGTTTTCTACCAATTTTCATCATATTCTGGCGGTCTTGGCGAGTGCAAGCCTTAGTGGTGTTTTTAATCATTTATTATTAGCCTCTTGAAAGGTTTGGTAAATTATTTTTTACCATGCTTACGAAATTTGAAACAAAATCGGCGAGAGTTAAAGGTAAGGAAGTCGCTCTATTATTTCGTGTTCACGGTATGCATGACTCCTTGTACAGAATTACGACTGCCTTCACATGAATGTTTTTCAAAAAAATAATTTTGATCCCTTTTCATCTTAATCTACTAAATAAACTTTAATCTACCGTGGATATCCGTGGAAAATCTCTTGTTCATGGCTTCTTTTCAAGAATCAGACGATCGATTGGTTCTAAGATCGAATAATTCTTTGTTTTTGGAAGTTTGTTGAATGCAGTGTATTGTTAATTTAATATAATTGTTAACTTATTGGTCTGTTGAAAGTCGCATGTTCAGAGGGAAAAATTCTGTAAAACCTGACCACTGATTTTGAAAGTTTTAGTCACTGTATTTTGTGATTCAATAAAGTGATCATTTGTCAGTAATGGAGCGAATTTTGACGGACAGTTAAAAAACTCAAACCATTCAATCACAAGGGCCAATCAGAACGATGGAAAATAATGTGAGAAGCCAAGTAAAATCAAGAAAACTGCATAAAACATGGAAAATGCAAGTGACCAGGTTCTAATTGGTTGTAGTATTCAATATGATTGGTTGAGAAGGTGTGCAAGTTTTTAGACCTACCACAGAGTGAATGGAAACAAAACCATAGAAATGCCAATTTACTTTTGATACTCATTTGAAATTTGCCCTAGTGATATTTGGGAAAGCTTACTCTAGACTAGTGCTGCATGAAAACTTGATTGTTTACTACTTTTGTAGGTTCTACTTTAGACTCCACTGTTTCCAAAAATTGTTTTAGTGGTAAAATTAGCTTATGGTCACCTGAACTTTGGGAAAATTCCAAGAACTGAGATAGACAGTGGTGCACTATATCACTTTTAGGGTACATTAGAATTCCATGTAATATTGACTTCTGCCTTTGTCTTCCATTATTTAGGCATTGCCTTCCACCCCAAGAGACCATGGGTTCTTGCTAGTCTGCATAATGGTGTTATACAGTTGTGGGACTACCGAATGTGCACATTGCTGGAGAGATTTGATGAACATGATGGTAAGAACATAGTGTTTCAAGATGCATCCTAAGCATGTCCAAAGTCTTGTAATGCATGTAATAGACAATTAAATCAAAGGATGAACTAATTCTAGTGGTGGTGTTTCTTGTTTATATAATGACAGAAAGTAACACCTAAAAGAGCACAGGATCTTAATTGCTATTGACTCAATGATGTTCAATTTACAACATGTTTTAACTATTTTCACCATGCTTTGGTTCTATTATAATTAGGTGTTGGTTTTTCCAGAACAGATTTTATGTAAATTTTTCCTCGCCTTTTATTCATTTTTCTAGTTTGAAACAAAGGAATGAATCAATATATGAATGAATCAAAAGTTAAAGTATTTTGAAACACCATTTTAACCACAATAAGTTGCCGTATCTTGTATATTATTTGGTCAAGATGTAGTACCCTGTTCTTTTTTCTAGGTCCAGTTAGAGGAATCAATTTTCATACCAACCAACCTCTGTTTGTTTCTGGAGGAGATGATTATAAGATTAAAGTATGTCTTTTGTGTCTCATTGATATATGTGATCACATCTTTCACTTTACCTCTATCATTTGAATGTGGCTTACAGGGGGTGTATATACATTGTAGTCAATTGGAGTTTACTTGGAATCAGAAATAAATAGGACTAAGTTTTGGTTTCCGAGTCATCCTGCAATGAGTAACTGTCCTATTCTGTGTCAGTGATAACACTGCTAGAGTACAATACCATCATTATCATGCAATTGTTCACTGGACATATGTTACTTTTAAAGTTTCTGCTGTTGTTTCCTTTACAATAAATATCAAAGCTTTGTTTTGTATATTCTGCTGTTTTTCAAAAGAGAAATAAGTGCCCTGTCCCTTTTTGAATAAGCACCCTTCCTAGGGGTACCAAAAGTAAGTAAAAACCCCAGGCACTGAAGTGAGTCATAAAAGTATGGCATTTGAAAGTAAATTTGATCTTGGATTCTTGTATTGATAGCTAATTTCATATACAGGGTACAGGGTATTAATGTTTAGATTTGTGAGACAGGGTCAATTTGAAAGTTTGTTTTCTCACAGATGACTATGAGCATTTTCTTCAACACAGAAAACAGAAAATAATCATTGTGTTTCTTGAATTAGGTGTGGAACTACAAACAGAAGAAATGTCTGTTCACTCTGTTGGGCCACTTGGATTACATCCGAACAACTTTTTATCACCATGTAAGCAATGCATGATATTAAGAAGTGTACAACTTTGGCATGGTGCTCTTTTAACATTATATGTCTCATTCTAGTTTAGTAGTTTTATTTATACCATTAAGCATTGTAAATCAGGGTTGATATTGTTACTGTTAAATTTTTTTGCTTTTTGGTCAAATAGATTCAGGGACCAGTACATGTTTTTGTCATTTTGTTGGTTAATGTTAATATCTTTTTCCAAAATGTCCAACACTGTTTTTATGTCAACATGTATGTTAATTGACAGGAATATCCATGGATAATCAGTGCTTCTGATGATCAAACAATTCGCATCTGGAATTGGCAGTCGCGCACTTGTATCTGGTACTTACTTTTTTGGCCTTGACCCAGTAGTGACATTTTATGATGATTATCAGTAGGGCCATGTTATTCTTGTTTTTTTTTCATCATCACTTCTCCTTTTATCCAATAATGGAATTGATAATCATTTTCTCCTACAGTGTTCTCACAGGACATAATCACTATGTGATGTGTGCTCAGTTTCATCCTGCAGAAGACTTGGTTGTTTCTGCTTCGCTTGACCAAACAGTAAGAGTCTGGGATATTTCAGGTGGGCACTGTTGTTATTACTGGTCCCTTTTAATGCACATTTTGGTGCAGTATGATAAAATAGTAAGGAGGGAGGGAATCCCTACACAATTTTTGGTATCAGATTAAAAGTCTCATCATTCTTCTCTTGATAGAACAGAAGAGATAGAACAGAAGAGAATCTTATAGGGTTCTGATTTGATCATCATCATAACTGCAATTACTTTTTTTTACAAGCTTATCAAGTTGTCAACTTTAAAATTTAAGGTCTTAGAAAGAAAACCTGTGCACCTGGAGCAAGTGGACTAGAAGAGCACTTAAAAACTCCTGGCCACACAGATCTATTTGGACAGTCAGATGCTATTGTTAAACATGTACTCGAGGTATGTGGATATGTACAAACTATTCAGATTTCCATGCCTGTATTGTACATGTAAAGTTTCAGATTATCGGAACTTACTCTGGAAAGGTAGTTTGTTTATTATAAGGCAATTGAGCACCATTTATAATACATGCTGATAATATGAATGAAAGGAACCACTGAACAGAGTATGCTGATCTGCCTTCTTTGAAAACCTTTCCTACATGTAGTTGTGCAAGGGGTCTAAAGAGATAACTTAAGATCCTGTTAGACATGTATGTGTATTGTCAGCCCATGGGAATGAATCTTTTTGAATATAGGGGGGCTTCCACTGTACCTGTTGCACTGGTTTGTTGTATGATAAAATACCAGGGGGGTTTTTCCTTCTGGTGAGTCTGGTTGAGATTGATTCCAGAAAGTTCATGAAACAGACACACTGTAACTGTATTTGAATTACCACATTTAAAGGGACATTTTATCGAACCTTTCAAACAATCTTGAGCCATTGTTTGGAATTATCAGTTTGTCAAATAGCAGAGGAAAGGGGAGGGCTGATATTCCTGTACTCTCGTCAAATTAAAGGTCTCATTGTGCTCTGTACTTAGGGTCATGATCGTGGTGTCAACTGGGTTTCTTTCCATCCCACCATGCCACTTATTGTGTCTGGAGCTGATGACAGACAAGTCAAACTGTGGAGAATGAATGGTATTAGAGTTTGTTTTGTTCTCTAGTAAAACATTTCAAATACTCAGATTTGATCAAACATTCATGTAATTTGCACTAGGTAAATTGTAGTTGTCAATTATGAAAATAATCATTCCAAGGAGTGTTATTTAGCCATGTGTTGATCAGTGTTACAAGATATTTTATTTTTTGTTAATTCTAGACTCCAAGGCCTGGGAAGTAGATACATGCCGAGGACACTACAATAATGTATCATGTGTAATGTTCCACCCTAGGCAAGAGCTGATTTTGAGTAAGTATACTAAATAAATATTGATGTCCTGTACAGTTGTTAAAAATGTTTTTTTACAGTAGTTGAAGTACTGTTATATGGTGAAGTACAAATGTTCTCATGGTGTCAAATTTCTCAAAAAAATTGGGGTTTTTTTCCTTTTGTCTTATATTTGTCATACAGTAATAGTCTGAAATAAAGGAAACATTAAATTAAACTGTTTATAAGATTTAAAACCAAGAAAATTAAAATTTGAACTGCAAAATGATTGATGCAGCAAAATAGGAGCGAAAAAGCCAATTTAATTGAAAACTGTACTCCTTTTGAAACAATGTTAGGTTTAAGTCAGCATGCACTATATGTTGTGAATGTACAGTTGTCTCCTGCTTTCTCTTAGTGCTATTATTCTTAAAAAATTTCTCCTCGTCTTTTCACAGGCAATTCAGAAGACAAGAGCATCAGAGTTTGGGACATGTCAAAGAGGTGAGAAGTTCATCTTAAGATGAGATGTTGTGGCATGATGTTTTCACATGTATACTAGGTAGTGAGACCTGCAAAAAATCTGGATCATTTCG